TCTGATACCAACTGTGACATCCCCAAATTCACGGTCATTTTAAAAATTTTATTTATGTTTATTTGAAAATCAGAGTATTCATTTTAAAAAAATAATGTTGCGGAATTTGTTCCCAGAAAAACATGATAAATACATTATAAAAGCATTCCCGCAGAAATGTATTTTATTCATTTTAAAACATTGGGATGTCATCGTCAATATAGAAACATAAGCATAAAAAGACCTTACATTCATTTACACTAGTGATTACATATCCTTTAATCTCTCAGTGCAATGTGTCTTCGTATCGATACTTGTGATACAAATAGACTGAGTGGGTAAGGTTGGGAAACTTGGTGAGTACATAGGATTTCAATCCCACAATGTTATATCACACACACACACACACACACACATATATATATATATATATATATATATATATATATATAGATATTAGAACTCACAAAATATACAATTTCACCATATATAAGCAACTTTACCCCACCCCGTCGATCTATACTCTCAGATCTAAAATTAACCTCGTTACCTAATCCATACTCCAGATCTAAAATTTACCTCTTTACCTAATCCATACTCCCTGATCAATAACTATGCCCATTCCATACTCTCGGACTAGGGACAATTGACTATGTCTTAATCCATACTCCCGGATTAATAACAAATAACTATGTCCTATCCATACTCTCGGACTAAGGACAACTAAATAAGTCTAATCCATACTCTCGGATCAATGACAAGTTTTAAAGGTAATTTCTCCGTGTATATCTCACTCGTACTCACAAGGAGATACTACCCAATATCCCTCTTAATTTATTTAGGCCTATTCTGTATCCTAAATCATCATATATTTATTAAATATGCTCTTAACACGTATTTCAGGCAATATCAAATATATCACACATAAACATATAATTTAATACTTGTATTAAAATCATGTTCATGAAAGGGACTACGCACTCACATTAGTAGCGTGATTTGATAGAATCTAACTAGAAACGGTCAGCGGTTCGTGATCGTCGGGCTCGGAACGCGGAACGCTTCAGCAAACGAGAGAGAGGACAGAAGGTTTGGTGTAAGGAGAGAAAGGGTCTCACTTGCTACTTATAGGTTGTTCTGGGCCCATTCACGTCGTGGACTTTATGTTCACGTCATGGCGCATGGCTGAATCACTTCGTAGGCTTGCCATCTGCGTTCTAGCTTCGAAAGGTATCCAGATGACATTTCCACGTCGTGAAATACCTAAGTTCACGTCGTGAACTTCCATGAGTCATCCCGTAGCCTTAACACGTGTTTTTAGCCTCGATTAATGTCTATGACTAGTTTCACGTCGTGGACTCAATGTTCACGTCGTGGACTTGAGGCGGCTAGGGTTTCTGCCACGTGTCATGCCCTCAGACAGCTATATCTTTGGAAGGTCCTAACTTTTGCATACGAGCTCCGTTTTTGACGTTCTTTATATCCACGCGTAGGTAGAGACGTACTCTAAAACTTTAGTTTAGGTCACTAAGGCCAAAAAGTACTTTATCGTAAAATCAGTTTTTACGATTCTCGGCGTCGTGCCGGTTTTGTCGCGAAACTTCGACAGATCATAACTTCTTCGTTATAACTCGGATTTCAGTGTTCTTTATATGTACGAAAACCTTATGAAATATATTACAACTTAGTTAAGATTATATATTCTAAATAATCCTCTATCAAAAAGTCATTTTTATGCTTATCGTCTCTAAATTGACTAGCCCGAATCTGCGGGCGTTTTATATATATATATATATATATATATATATATATATATATATATATATATATATTATTTCACTTTGATTCAAGTAGATTTGAGGTTCAATTTGGTCATAATATTGAAACAATGTTCGAAGTTGGAATATTTCTTGAATTATGCTCAAACTTTTTTCAAGAAGGCCTTTGAGCTAACAAATAAAGTTTGCTTTTGCAAAAGACCTTTGATATGCTTCGACCTGCTCCTGTTTAGCTACTTACAACTGTATTATGGGTCAGTTAACATGTATCCTCAAAAACAGTTTCGTGAAAATTTGGCCTTTTGTACTTGGCTAGCATGTGACATCACAAAGAAAATACATTGTCCTTTTCTGTATTTTGCTTTCATTAAAATCAGATAATAAAGACAAAAATCTAAATAATCGGAAAAAAATACAACAATCATTACAAAAAACAATTCAGTTGCTAACTCAATAACGTGGATTGTTTCAAAATTTACATTCTATAAATTACATGACAAAACAAATAAGCACACTTTCTTCGCTACTCATTATATACAATTACTACATGGATGTATGCATTGATATACAGTTACTACAAATAAGCACATTTTCATTATTTGATTTGATACTAATTCAAGAAATCTGTTACAAATGACATTGCAACTTTTGGACAATTTGAAAATCTTAACATCTACCAACAGGGGCAATATGTAGATGCATATTATCTTTTTCATTTGTTTTGATAATTTGTTTGAAACTATAAATTAAAAAATATATATATAGTTTTATTTGAGTGGTTTTATATTTGTTCTTTTTTGGTTGAAGTGAATGGGCTGTTAATATCCAAAGAGACAACTATGCATCATATATTGGCCATTATCCAATGCTTGCATATTTTGTAATAGCAGAAAATGAATCAATCGGAAGAGAACACTATAATTTTATGCACATATTTATTCTTCATATAATCATATATCAAGTACTGCTTTACTACCTTACTGTATGGGTGTATGTGGTATGTCCCTGTATCAATGTAAGTTACAAGTTTGTATTTCTGGTGATCAATCGATAGAGCTTCGAAGTTTGTTTTTTCTATTTCAAATGCTCATAACAAACGACTAGAAATAATCTGCCATAGTCAATAGTAGAATAGCTATAAATTTTCAGAAGTATTGCCAGGAGCATGCTTGATTGCTTAAACATTTGTGAATTTTAATTGATTGATTTATTCTTCAATGTTTGATTATTGTTAAATGCTTCTCCATTTTTTTTCGGTTGTATAATGGATTACTAAATGGGTTCGGATATTAGAATTCTATATTTCAATTCTCTTCTCAGTCTTGATTTAAATATTCTTATAAAAACTAGATGATTACAAACAATTTTGTCATTCATAGTAAAATGAAATCGTTAATATTTGTTTTGTTTGAAAATTTGTATAGATTTTGAATTTGAAGAGCAACATGCTTGACCTTAAATTTTCAGAAATCTTTGGTGTCTTTTTTAGGATCAGAAGGAAGCCCATGCATGGATTGTTGTTACATGATAAACATATCTTAACATTTCTTTGTCTATCCATTTACAAGTAATCCATTTTTTCTTATTTTAATTTTTGGCAGAAAAACCTTTTGTTTTAACGTTCTGACCAGTCAAACTCATGCCAATGATACCGTGACCTTCATCTAGTTATATACTAAAACTAATCTTCTTATTCTAATAAAAAAATATGTTTAATCTCATATTGACAAGTGTCATACAATTAGAAGTCCTCATTAATGTTATATATCACTTATAATGCCACTTGTATCAAACTATTAATTATCCATTTTAAATTTTAAATTTTAAATTTTAAATTTTCATTCTAATTACATTAAATTAATAATTGATTATCCATTTCAAATTTTAAATTTTCTCACTTTAATTACATTAAATTAATAATTGATTATTAATGTTAAATTTTCTCACTTTAATTATATTAAATTAATAAAATTAGATTGAAAAATAAAATAAAATTAATACATATTATAAGATGATATAACTTCATGTATTTATTTAAATCAACGATTATAATTTTATATAATTAAAAAATATCTCATAAGTAATAATTTATTTAAATACATAATTAATAATTTTGATTTTTTGATATGAAAATTTAATTAATTTTATAATTGTGGTTTTTACCGGTTATAAACTAGTAATTATATGAATTATTATGAAGAAATGAGTTTTTACACCCGGGAACAGAAATATAAGCTTCATGTGATTGGCTGACGTGGGTATTGCGTGGCAAAGAATATCTTCCGGAGTAAACGAAGGGACCACGCGTAGAGCAGAGCACGTGGTATGTCTCACTAGAGTAACAGCTGCATGCCTTCACCTACAAAGCAATAAGTTATTTTTTTCTTTTTTAAAGATTGTTGGTTACAATTTATCTTGGTATTCAGTATTATTTAATTGACAATATTCATTTCGTTTCTGAATAGCTTTCAGAAATTAATTAATGTGGTTCTTTTTGTTATATTTAGAAACTTCGAGAAAGCAAGAAACCATTGTCACACACGTGTCACCTTTTTACTGGCTGCTATCCTCACATCATTCGAGTAGCCGTAGTTACAGATAATTCTTAAATTATAATTAAAATAACTTAACCGTGGTTAGTAAAATAGGTTGAACCCGCGTTAAACCAATCCAAGTGGGCTCCACATATCCATACCCCTATAATAAAGAGCCACCCACTCCTGAAGCAATTCACATTCAAACAAACAGGTTAGATCCACAGTTCTTTTCTCACACACTAAAACACACACTTAAAAGATTTCTTGAAAATTTTCTTCTGAATTTCTTTAAGTTCTTTCTTGTTTCCCCCCTCTGAATTCCCCGCTTCTGTGTTTCCCTTTCTGTAAATCATCTGTTTAAGAAAAAAAATTGAAATTAATTTGACTTTTTTCTGGGTTTTTCATGGATTTATTAAGAACAAAAAAGCAAACTTGATTTGGGATTTTTTTTTTACAACAAGGTGCTTTCAGAATAGAGATCCATCTCTTTTAATTTGGGTTCTATTTCAATCAACTTTATTTTCATTTTTGTGTAAATCTTTTTAAATTTCATTATTTTCGTTATAAATCACACCTTTTCAGGCTTATTTTCGTCCTTCTAAGGTTGATTTCTTCAGAAAAGAAGGTTTGCTTATTTTGAAAACCTTAATTATTCTGGGTTTATTATTTTGTTATTTATTCGAAAATTAAAAAAAAAAAAAGATTAATGACGTCAGCAACAATGGAGTTCTGGAACACTACTGGAGGTTTCCAGCAGTCGTCGGCAGGCGGTGAGCTCATGGAAGCACTTGAACCTTTTTACAAAAGTGCTTCGTTGGATTACCAAAATACCCTCTCTTTCTCTTCATTCTCTCCTTCTCCTTCTACTTCTTATTCATGCCCCTCTTCGTCTTTTTTACCTTCTCCTTCTTATTCATTCCCTTCTTCGTCTTTTTCAACTTCTCCTTCTTCCTCTACGAACCAACAACAATTCGGATCGTACCCGGATTGTTACTTACATGGGTTTTCTACCCCAGACCCGTTTTATTATGAACAACCCGGATCAACAGTCGGTTTAAACCAATTTACCCCAATACAGATCCACCAGATTCAAGCCCAGATCCACTTCCCCAAGAATGGAACCCAATTCAGTCCGAAACCTGTACCCATGAAGCAATCTGGGTCACCTCCAAAACCCACGAAGCTTTACAGGGGTGTAAGGCAACGTCACTGGGGAAAATGGGTCGCCGAGATACGATTGCCCAAGAACCGCACCCGGCTTTGGTTAGGTACCTTTGATTCAGCAGAGGAAGCCGCGCTGGCCTACGATAACGCCGCATACAAGCTGCGTGGTGAAAACGCGCGGCTCAATTTTCCTCATCTCCGTCACAACTGGTCTCAGACCGGTGGCGACTACAAGCCACTCCACTCTTCCGTTGACGCTAAGTTACAAGAAATTTGTCAGATCTTGGCAGAGGGGAAGAGCATCGATGGTTGTAAGAAGTCACGACAGTCTTCGGGAAAGTCAAAGAAGGCGGCAGAGCAGGCGGAAGTGGTCAAGGTTGCAGGTTCCGAGAGTGACGGCGAAGGAGTGTCCGGTTGCGGGGATTCTTCGCCGTCGTCGGGACTTACCTTTGCTGATTTCTCAGTGGAAGAAAGCGCGTGGTGTGATTCTGAAAATTTCTCGCTGGAAAAGTTCCCGTCGTACGAGATCGATTGGGATTCTATTTGATGTTATCGTTTATTTCTTCGTTTGCTACATATGGTACAACTAATAGTAGCTTTAGTAGGGTATATTTGTAATTTACTGGGGAAGTTTAGTTACTGCAATCGAGTTTTTTGGTAATTGCAGGGCTTGACACTTCCTCTTCGGTGGATAGTTTCGTAAATTTGAAGGTCTTTGTAGTTTGTTTTTTTTCTTAATGTTGCTGGGCTAGGGTAGAAATGTAACTTGGCTGGTGGTTTTTTTCTTGGCCAAATTCCATGTATTTTTGCCTTTATATTGTATTCTTCTGTGTTTTTGGTGGTACGATTATAATTTAAAATTTAGACAAAATTGCAAAAATAATCTATATAGTTATTTTATTTTATATGTTCAAATGTTTGAAAAGTTGTAGATTTGTCATTTTTAACAAGTTTTGGTCTCTTTTTCATTAAGTTTAATGATTCATTCTTAACTTCTTTAAAATGAAAATACCCTAATGGATCATTTTTACATACATTTTTTTTTATTTTATTAAAATATTATATATTAATAAATATTATTTTTAATATAGAATATATTATTATATATATATTAAAGTTGTGGAGGAAAAGAACAGTAAAATTGACATTATTTGTCCACTTTTGGTCCCTTAATTTACATATCTGGTCCCTCTACTTCTTTAATTAATTTATATCATATCCTTTTGTTTGTCTTCTATTCCCGGGTCGGTACTGTTCGAGGCCGGATCCTTACTACTCATCGACTTAGTTTAATCCCCCCACTTCTTCTCGATGTTTCCTCTACCGTCTCACCTTACATGTGTCTCATCTTCTCCACCGTTCCTCCAAACCACCGCTACTCCTTCTCAGAGGATTAGGATTAGGGTCAAGGCGAGGAAGCTTTCAAACGTTCAGGGGCTCCTCTCCTCCGCTTCATCTACTTCTCGGCTTCGACTTCCCATCGATCCGTAAGCATCGATTTACGGATTATTGTTCCAGGTATGTAATCGATTTGAACTATCTGTTGATTTAAACTCATTTAGTGAGTGTGTGTGTATGTTCGTTAAATCAGAATCAGTGATGGGATGGAAGTGAATTCAACATATAGTTGTTTTTTAGATTTTCAATTTTTGGTCTCAGACTCCACCGTCAATGTCTTTTGGTTAGGGTTGGGTTTCCACCAAAATGCTTCATATTCTGATAATTTCTTATCCATCGGCACAGTTCAATCGCCTTCGCTATTCACGATCATCTCATGTAAAGCATATCTAAAATTGTGTTCAGAGTTTAATTTTAGATTCATGAATTCTTTACAATTACAAATTACATCTTATTTTGATCCAAAGTAGTGATGATGTAAAGGAATTAGGAATGATCTTATTGTTATGGCCTTCATTAAACAGAAGTAGAAGATGATGAGTAGAAGAAAGATGATTGTGATGAAGATGAGCAGGTTGCATAGGAAGAGGAAAAGGTGGATAGTGATGTTGAGAGGCAAATGCGTAAGAAAAGAAAGATGTACGATTAATTTGACAATCTTTCGTTTACTTATAACTTAACGGTTGCCTTTCTGATTTATATTGCATAAATCTTAACAGAGAGTCAAAGTGGAACAATGTTCTTGATGAAGATGACTGTGAGCTCCTTCAAGATAACATCACTAGGAAAATTGGTGAGATTCTGAGTGTGTTTTTCTATGAATGGATGTGTGAGTGTATGCATATCTCTATCTTACTGTGTGTATGAATGGTTTTAGGTGTTTGCATATCTGATTTTTTTTCTTAAGTGGTAATAGTAAAATTTTTGTTTCTACTTCCGGATGATAATTTTAATAGAGTAATGAAGGAGAGGAGGTTCTACTTACAGTTGGTAATAGATGATTGCAGAAAGTGGTTGCAAAACAAAGACTAGAAATGGAAATTGAAGGGTTTTCATGGAAAATAAAGGTATGTTTTACTATGTATATATTGCCTTTAGCAAATCCTATTTTATGGAAAAGTAAATTGATTCTTACAGGGTGGAGATGTTCCTTTTGTGTAGATGTTTGGGGAATTTACTCTATCAGTTGGCATTGCTGTAATTACTCATCTCTGAGTTTGCATTGGGGCTTATATAAAATTGGAAGAATTGGGTAATAACAGGTAGGAATGGGGTATTGGGCAATATGAACGCATGGAATTGTATTGAATGCTTCTTTATGGCACATGCATGAGGTAATTAACAAATCCCAGAGCCACAAAACAAAACAGATTTTTGTATTTAACTTCAAATTGAATCATCATTTTATTTTTATTTTTTTAACAAAATAAACATCATTTAAGATGGCTGCTTTCGGAACTGATAAAGTAGACTATGTGATATAGCTGAAGACATGTTTATAGCTGAAACTTTCAACATAATGCACATCTTTTATTTTATTTTTATATTTTTGTAAAATATGGCTTTGGATCTGAAATTCTTATCTCTATTTCATCTTTTTTGATCTTTCACATTCTTGAACTCCAAATACTAGAGCCAAAGCACATGAAACAAGTTAATGGTGGCGTGTTTAGGAACAAAATAAATACTAGAGCCAAAGCACATGAAACAAGTTAATGGTGGCGTGTTTAGGAACAAAGTAATTCTTGAGAGCTAAAAAAATCAAAAGATGTATATATGCAAAACCAGATTGATGTAAATGGAGTTGTGAAAATATTAGTTGTTTCCTAGATAAAAAAAAGGAAATTGAAGAAATTGTTATTTTGTTGCATGTGTTTTAAAGGTGCAAGAATTGATTTATAAAATATGATATATACAGGTAAGTAGGTGAGCAGAGCTCCTAAGCTACAGAGGTTGGTGACACCAAAGAAGGAGGGCAACAATTGGTGACAAGAACAAGAGGATTACAAAGGCCAAATCAGAGGTTGTAGATTACCAAACTTCTTGCAAATGGGTTCAAGGAGCAAAGGAGAAAGCGAAGTGAGAGTTTGGATAAAAAGAGGTCGGATGGATTCTGTTATCAACAAAAGTAAGCCAACTATAACTTCACATTATATTTACATTATACCTGCATGTAAACATTATTGTTTACAAAGAAAAACCATCTAACCCCGCAACGCGGGGGATACATCGCTAGTTATATATTAATAAATATTATTTTTAATATAGAATATATTATATATTAATAAATATTGTTTTATTAGATTATTAATTTATCTAACTTAAAATTTTTTTATTAGAGTAATTCTTTTTAATAGAATTATTATATACAAACACCTATTATATTATGAGATTATTATATACTACAAAACATTATATATATATCTAGAATTATATTATATATTAATAGTTATTTTATTTTATCGTTTTATAGTCCGGTTTTTGTGAGAAACTCATTTTAAAGTGACTACTCGTGAGGACATCTTAAAAAAAATTGAAAAAAAATCTAAAAGAATACAAATCATAAAATCGAACATAGATCTATGTCCGGGAGAAAAAAAAATTTGGAAATTTTTTTTTGTATCATTAAAATTGATCCATAATTCAATTTTAATTTTTTATTTTGTATCATTATGATCATTGATTCAATTTTAATGATCCAAATTTTTTTTTCCGTTTTTTGTTTCTCCCGGATATAGATCTATGCTCCATTTTATGATTTATATTTTTTTTTCAATTTTTTTAAGGTGTCTTTATGAATCCTCATTTTAAAATAAATCCTCAGCCGATCTTATATATATATATATATATTATATATATATATATATATATATATATATATATATATATAAATCGTAAATATAATTTACTCCTAAACTACTTAAATTCACCTATATCAATGACGAGACTTGAACCATCAACCTCAAAGAAGGAAGGCAACATCGGATACCACTAGGCTAGAAGTTCTTTGGTAATAAATATTATTTTTAATATATAATATTTATATCATAATAAATATTATATTATTGGATTATTAATTTTTTTAGTTAATTTTTGTAATTTTTTTTATTTTTTAATTTGTTGAATTATTAATTTTAATTTATAATTTTTTTCATATGATAAATTTTATTTTATTGGATTATTATTTTATTTTTAATGTATACTATAAATTCTTTTTAATTTATTTAATTTCACCACAAAGTCGCCGAAATAGGCAAAATTGTCGCTTCTCATCATAAAAAATCGGCGGGAACACCAACACCTTCATCGGAGGTTCAATAGAAGCTCTACCAACCTGTTCCACCATGCGTCGCTGATAGCCACATGCGACAACCTCTTCATAATCCACTGAAATTTTGAATATCCCACATAATGCACTACAAACCCTTTTAATAATTATAAGTGGTGGTGGTGACCGGGTGATGGTGGTGATGTTTTCCCTATGGTTTCTTATTATAAGCTACCTGCAATGAAGGTGTTTGGCAGTGATCCTGGCGATTTAGATGATGAGAGACGACAAATTTACGTATTCCAAGACTTTGTGGTGGAACCGATAAAATTAACAAGAACTAATATTATACATTAAAAATAAATTAATAATCCAATAAAATAGTATTTAGTATATGAAGAAAATAATAAATTACAAGTAATAATCCAATAAAAAATAATTTTAAAACAAGGAATTACAAAAGTTAAATAAAAGAAATTGATAATCCAATAATATAATATTTATTATGATATAAATAGTATATACTAAAAACTATATGTATTGATATATAATAATTTAATAAAAAAGAATTACTCCAAATTTTTTTTTTAAAAAGAATTAACTAAAATAAAATAATAATCCAATAAAACAATATTTATTAATATATAATATTATATATAGAAAATAATATATTTTAATCTATAATCTTTCAATAAAATAAAAAAGAGTGTATGCAAAAATGGTCCTTATAGTATGGTAAAAGACAAAATTGTGAATATGGTCATGAGGGTAAAATTGTCATTTTATAGAATTTAACATCCAACTAGTTAAACTAAACGGACGATGGACTAAACCCACAATAAAACTTGTTGAAAAAGACGAAATCTTCAAATTTTCAAACG